TTTGTGATGGATCGAGGAGGGGAATTTCGTGCAGATGACGTACAAGCTGTTTTGAGAAAGCTCGGTGTAAATTACAGTTACACCACTAGAGCTCATCCACAGGCTAACGCTCCAGTTGAGCGAGGCCACGCTACTCTGGCAAATTTGTTGGCAAAGTGGTGTGCGGACAATCTGTCGAAATGGCTTATTTATCTGAGTTCGTAAAGAATATTACTATCAAGCGGACGACTGGGAACGCTTCTGTAACTTTGTGGTTTGGTCGACATGCGACATTCTGAATCGTAAGCGTCCTGCAAACTTGGCAGAAACAGGATATGGAAACTAACCTTTCGACGAAAGAATTACTTGACCTCAGGGCAAGACAGATAATGATTACAGAGGAGAAAATTGAAGAGGTTGCTGCCTCGACCGCAGAAAGCAGACAGGCAGACAAGGAAAGATGGGACAGGTGACCTCGAGTCCGTAAGGAGCGTTTGGAAATTGGTGATATTGTTCTCCTCTACGATTCATCTATGGAAAAACAGTGGTCAAGAAAGTTGGACAGTCGATGGTTGGGACCATATCGCATTGTCGGGAAATCATATCATGGAGCATATGAGATCGAAGAAATGGATGGGGCACGCAATCGAAATTGGGTTTCTAATTCTCATTTACGAAAGTTCATTCAGAGGGATTGAGGGCAATAGTTGTTTTTGACTATCTCTGTAAAGTATAGCATTTCTGGTCATTTTTCATTTGAGAAACAAACACTGAAACATAGCTTGGGATGTGTTTTTTTTCTTTTCTTATTAGAGGTATTTTTGATTTTTTGTACAGTTGTTGATATTCATTCTGGATCTCCTTGCGATCCACTAATAAAATGTTGTGATAAAAGTGGTGGTGACATTGAACTCTCAAATGTGTCTTTTCTGTGTGTGTCATTTTGAATATTTTTCTGTGAATGACTGAGTGTATGTTTTGTGTGAATGACTATGCATGTAAATGGGAGGCAATGTATGACAAGAAGTTACCCTATCTCATCTCTCGTGGTGACAAAATTATGAAAGATGTGAGTCATGTAGACGGTAATGAGGTATGTGCCGAAACCTTGTTCCTGGTCCATAGCGGGATGTTGTCACCTTCCTTGTGGAAGGGGGTGACTACATTACCATTGAAAGGGAGGAAAATTTTGCGATTTTATCAGGACACTGTCAGTAGAGTAGGCGACCACGATTTACTGCAAGGATAGGGTTGGTCTCCTAACCTTGAAGTAGGTAGGGTCACCTTGTCCTCATGACTAAGGTCTGACCAACCTTTGGTTGTGTGGACAAGGTTGTCCTATCCTATTGACAGCAGAGTGATAAGATCGTAAGATTGGAATCGGAGGGAAGGTGGTGAGGCCCGAATCTAAAGCGGGGCTTGATGTCGGGATGTTGTCCTTCAAAGGATACATTTTTGAAAGACATGCCAGGGGTTAATCTTGACTCATTTGGGGAAATAGGTTAAACACAAGTTTTTCAGTGAATGATGATGAAATACTTGAGGCCTTTTGTTTTGATGTCTTCCCTGACTGTAGTATAATGTGAGTATCCTTGTCTATATGGGAGACCCAGGTTAAATTCCTCGCGGCGTTGTGCACGTCGAGGTGTTGTGAAGAGCATCCCCTTAAACTCAAGAGACCTGGGTTAGATTCCCGGCAGTTAAGGGAATTCCTCAAATGAATATAGCAGTATCAATTGATTGGATTATGTTGGATCTAGCTATAGGGCTTCCAGTACCATTCTGAGAGACAAAATTTTGAGTGGCCGTCAGTGGGATGATGCTGGAACCATCCGAAAAGAAGTGCACAAGAATTGAAGGCATCAGTCCAATAGTTTGAGCTCATAATTGATGGAAAGGGGAGGTTGTCTGCTAGGACTGTCCTGGTAAACACCTCTGCTATTGTGTTTGGATAAAACTGAATGACATGGAAGTCATTCAATGCGGTCTGGGAATGCTGTCGGGACAAAAACCCTGACAAGGGTATCTACCCTGTATTTTCGATGTCGGACGAAGTCCGAATTTTAATGTAAGTTTGGGGTAACTGGTCTGATGAAATAGACATGCTATTGGAGAGTTCCAACTCATCCTCGGTTTTGGCAAGACCGCATAGATGTGCAGCCGAGGAAAGACTAAAGCTAGACCTATTCTACCAAAAACAATGTCGCGCGGCTGCTAAGAAGGTTGAAAAAGGGTCGCCGCTAAAATGGTTGGCGCCGCGGCGCGGAAGGAAAAGGAAGTTTTATTTTTTGGGTCCGCGGGGTTTTTGCGCCGAGATGCAGAAGGAATGGGGTCATGGCCTGCTGAGTGGGGCAGTTGTTAAGGCCGTGGGCCGCTAAACCGACCAGCCAGCCACTGTAACAGGCAGGCTTAGCAGGCACAACCTGCTAAGCACTGGAGGGCGGCCTGCTGGGCACCGCAGCCCTTCATATAGAAGGGTTGCTCCTTTCTCAATGTGAGAAAGGAGCTAGCCGAGTAGGTACCGCCATCGGACTGTCACCCTACAGATGTAGGGATCGAGCTCGAAAATACACAACTCGGGCTAGCTCCTTTTTGGGAATAGCCCGACAGTCTAAAGACAGGCGGCCTACTGGGCTGCCACCCTTCAAATAGAAAGGCGGCGATAGTAACTCCCGTGAAAGGAGTGCCCAGCAGGTACTACATCAGATTGTTACCCTGCAAACGCAGGGATCGAACCCGAAAACCTGCCTACTGGGCGCAACTCCGTTTGGAACTGCAATTTTGGATAGCGCGGTCGATCCCGACCGCACTATCGTATAAGATCGCGTGGCCGAGATTGGCCGCGCATAGTTTAGCTTGGTCCTGTGCAAGGATGACACGTACAAATCAAGTAAAAAAAAAATAATAATAAATAAATAAAAATAAAAAAATAAAGAAAAAGCAAACAGCGCCACATGGCGCTCGAAGATGTGTCTGAGGGCACATAACGAGTAACCGTTGGCATAAGCCAACGGTTTTATTATTACCGAAAAAAAAAAAAAAAAAAAAAGTAATGCGCCAGATGGCGCTGTAGGAGGAAGATGGGGACTTACAGTCCCCAGAGGAAACGACAGGCGCCCGTTGAAAACGAGCAGCCAAAAGTTAGTTTTATTTTTCTTTTTAGATTTTTTTTAGATTCTTTATTTTTTAAATCTTCTTTCGATTTTTTGTTTTTAAGATTCTTTTTTTTTCTACGAGCTACTGTACCAAGACTGTTTCGTTCGAGTCTCACCAACTCGTTAGGAGGCTGAACCTCGATAGCCTGCAGAAATTTAATGAATCTAACCCTATATCGTGGAGGGGTACATTGCCGCGAGAGAGAAAGAGAGAGAAGGAGAAAATGAAGAGGGGCAACCTACCTACCTATACCTACCTGCCAGTTCGCCCCACGCGACTTCCTTCGATAAAATGAGCAAAATCGAATGAATCCACACGTGGAACAAGGAAATATACGCCCCACATGAGTGCCTTTCCCCTCCCCTCAGTCTATTTAAGGGTCTGCGGCCGTTCGTTCGGAGAAATGGGCAGCAGTCGCCACCTCAGGTAAGTTTTTTTTCTTGTTTTCTTTTAGTTTTTCCCCCCCTCTCAGTTTCGTGGCCGTTGGAGAATGGGCAGTGGGGGAAAACAGGAAAAGGGGCAGAAACGAGACAAACTGCCTCGTGAAAAACTGTAAAAAAAAAAAAAGAAGTGAAACAAAAGAAAAACGAGGCAACTGCCTCATAGGGAAGAAGGAAAACAACCTTCTCAGGCTGTGTGGGAGCAAAACCAGCTCCCCACCTAGCAGACCACGAAGAATGGGGCTGAGGGAGCTGGCTAGAGAAAGGGAGAGAGGGAGGACGAGGTAGTTGGGAGGAGGAGGACCTACTCCTCCCAAACTGACAACTGCCCTCCTCGCTTTCAGGGGAGGGCAAAGCAAAAAGGGGAGAGTTGTTTTATGCAACAGCATGCACCTGGCTAAGGAAAGAGCCAGGTGCAGTAAAAATTAGAATTAGCTTTATTTTTATTTTTCTTTTGTTCTTTTTTCTTATTTTGAGTGAGGACACTTGTCCTCACGTGGTGCTACCTCTGGCAGCTTCTGCCAGAGGTAACTATCAAGCTCCCGTTTTTGTAGGGAGCCTGGAAATTGAAGGACCATGGTTCAACCTTTTCCCCGATGTATCTGCCCTGGAAAAAGGGTCTTGATACATCAAACTGAAAGGGGTTGTATCTTTCCAACCCCTTGTTAGAAAAATAAAAGAAAACAGATTTGGAAATGGCAGGAGCCCAACTATCTCGTGAGATTTCGAGATAGCTGGGAAAAAGAAAAGAAAAAATAAAATAGGGCAGTTAAAGAAACTGCCCCACACTAAGGTTGTGGCTGTGGTGCGGTCACAGTTAGCCCTGGATCTTGGCTAGATCAAGGGCTCACTGTGAGCCCGTGATTTTGCCTGGGGGCTGGAGTGACGTCCAGCCCTCCTCAGCCACTATAAAACAGGCAGCTGTCCCCAACTGCCACACAGAAGCACTCGTGCCGTCAATTGTGTAACGTGCACACTTGAGTGTTGCTGAGGAGGTGAGGTGCTGCCTGAGGACTTCAAGGAGGAGGCTGGAGACCTGCAGAGGAGTGCGAGGAGAGAAGCTGGGCAGCCATAGCCCAGGCAGGGAACACTTTGTTCCCCTCCCCTCTGGCTGGTGCTAGTCCCACGGGACGGACCCAAGGACGCTTCAGGGCTACGTCAGTGCGGCAAAGTGGAATTTGGGCCTGGGGCCCAAATTTTACTAATTTTGGCCTGCCATTTTTCCACCACGGTGGGGAAGTTCTGCCAAATTTCTGCGGCGGCGACGCAGGTTTTACGGCGGTGGTACGGAAGTGCTGCCGAAATTTTTTTTGGCTGTGGCACTAAGTTTTACGGCGGTGGTACGAAAGTGCTACCGAATTCCTGCGGCTGCGGCACTAAGTTTTACGACTGTGGTACGGAAGCGTTGTTGAATTTCTGCGGCAGTGGCACTAAGTTTGACAGCGGCGGTGCGGAAACGTTGCCGAATTTTTGCGGCGGCAGCACTGAGTTTGACGGCAGTAGTGCGGAAGCGCTGAAAGTTTTTTTACAACAAAGGCACAGGATTTACGGCAGTGTTGGCGGTATTTTTGCGTTGAGCAACAACTGGGCATTGGCGCAATGAAGGTGCCGATGGAGTAGTGTATTTCGAGGTAGCGTGGATTTGACGGCGCGGTAACGCGGTGACGGCGGAAGCAATTGGCAGCGACACTTACTGAAAAGTAAGTGAAGGAGTGTTGTGGCAGGTGGTAGCAGCAAGAGAGTGGTGTAGATCACTTTGCTGACGACTGGGGACGACTACTTTCACGTCAAAAGGGGCATAATTCTATACGGTCTTCTTGAGTGTGCCGTACAACTTCACTCAAGGTCAGTGGACAGTCAGTTTGACTCAGACCCTTTCACGCCTGAGTGAACCCACACTTTGCTCGACCCTGTCCTTTGAATGTTCACTGAAAGGTAGAGGAAATGTGTGTTGGCGCGGGTGAATGTGAGTCTGACCTGAGTTTGGATTTGCATTGTTTCTTTTGTTGAAGTTGTCGTCTGATCCGGCTGCAGGTGTGGCTTATTGAAATGGAAGTGGGTCGACCTTGAGATGGCTAATGTTTGGTTGTTCTCACTTTTCCACACTTGTATGTATGTGTCAAACCAAAAGAAGAAAGAAGACGATGAAAAATAAAGCGATCACTAAGAAGAAAAGCTTGAATCGACAAAGATTTTTCTCAAGGTCACCGGTTCTTTCCCGAATGACCCGCTCTGTCTATGCCCGTCCGTCTGAATGACTCTTCCTTCTGTGATCATTTTTCGTCTAAGTTGTTCTTGACGTCAGGCAACAAGAGGTCTGCTCACCGTGGTAGATTCCTTTCCTTTTTCTAGGAGGCATCTGAGGCGGGGGTTCAATGCCTTAGGGGCCGACCCTGTTATCGACTCGAAATGGAGCGCTCTGCGGGGGGGTACCATGTTGTTGTGGTGGAGCCAGCCCGACTTCTGAGATCCGAGGTTCTCTCGCGCGAGGACGAGGGGTATCCCAGACCACCTCCTATGGGAAGGACAGGCGTATATTCACGGAAAGGCCTCTGGAATTTCTTGGCACCTCGCGTAAGGGAGAACTGTTGTAGTATACCCTTTTGGCGGCCATATTAAGAGCCGTTGACGCATGGGGAACTGTTGCCATAAGCAGCCCAATTCGTGTCATACTAGTTTAAGCAGAGTGCAGTTAGGCACTCTTATCACGGACGGTCGTGCCAGAAGAAGCACGAACCGAAACGGAAGAAGGATGTATGAATAATAATCAGTTGTAGAGATTTTAACGTAACTACTCTCGCTATTCTTTTTTTTCAGATGGCAGTAGGGACAACGGTCTGTCACCTTTTAAGCAATCATGACGAAGCGGCAGAATGGGCAGAGTCCTCGAGACGTAATGGAGGAAGATCGGAGAGAGTAGCACGAGCCGTCTTCAATCCGGATCAATTATATTCTGAGGAGGATGTTCCACGATTCTGGGATGGCAGTGCGCGGAACCCTCCCAGACGACTCGTTTTCAGATTAAGAACCGGATTGGACATCCTTCATTACGAGTTCGCTCCGCCACTGCCCGATCGCGACTTCGTCAACATGAACTTAGTGGTGATGCAACCATATAAGATAAACCCTCGAATGGACGAAATTCTTGAGATAAGGCTGACTTTCGTTCGTACCGTACTTTGGTTAAACGAACGACAAGGTTCTTTCTTTGGCATATATCACACAAGATGAGTACGGGCGAATAGGTTCATCATTCTACGAGTTGAACCATTCTCAGAGTATGCATGGCAAGATGAGGAGGATGAACTCATAGAACGGTTACTCAACTGATGAAGTTTTGTTCTTACACGCAAATGCTTGGAGCTCGACGAGACATGACCATCCCGAGGTACCTGCTGGTTCGCGATACGCTTGAGGACGATCTCATCAGAGGAGCAGAGCAACTTTTACGAGTTCGAGATGGTTCTCCCACGGAGTGGATCGGCTTCATCGGCCTCCTCCGAAATGGAGAGGGATTTTTCGGGCAAACATGGCTCAAACTCCCGAGTAGTTTTATGGATACACATTGTATTTTCACCGTGCGAGTAATCTCTAATGTCTCTCCCGAGTCATTGTGAGTATAAGGATTACCTCGTCCGGCAGACGCTTTGGCGTCGTCCGGATCCAAGACACAGAGACCCGACATTTATTTGGACTTAGTCGGCCTCTGCGAGTTATAGTTTGGACGTTAGCTTCACGGATGACCTCTTTCTGTGACACTCAAATTATTAGAGTCATGCGAGGTGGATGGAGGGCTACCCTAACATTCGATGACAATGAGCTTGCACAATTGGATTCATTGGAGGCTCAGYTGCGCGGAGGACGGCARATCTACTTGGGATAGACATTGTCCTCTGATATCCAACTTGGATTTCAGATAACACTTACGCATTGACTTGTCCTGTTGAGGAAGTCATATGACTCATGACTTCACGAGGTAATCATAAAAAAAAAAAAAAAAAAACACATTATGTAGGTAGGACCGCCAGATGGATAGTATCTGGATCACCCCGATGATGGCACTATCATGCTTATGCATTGAGGGGTAACCACATGCATAAAAACGCATGTCAGAAGCAAGAAGGAGAYGATAGCGGAGGTGGGGTCAAACCGAGAGTTCAAACTTCGGCTAGGAACCAGATCACTTGTTAATCTGCATGGTAGCAGTGGTATTTACTTGCAGAAGCTAAGCACGACARACTTCAGTAGGCACAATGTTGTCCTAAATTCAGACTTGAAAAAAGTATGACTTTAGCKTAAAAGGCTTGAAAAAGGAAAATTATGTGTCGACCATATGGACGATGAGTAGGAAAACACGATAGCATGATCC